TCGGATTCGGATCGAATCGGATTCGGATTTTTCGGATTCGGATCAAATCGGATTTTGCCCAAATCCGATCCGATCCGTGCGGAACACTATTGCTGGTACTAACAGTTCAAAAATATCATCAAATTTTAAGATTCCTCCTTCAACAGTATATAATACTATTAATTGCTATAAAAAAACTGGTTCTTCACATCCTAATAAACATTCTGAAAGGCCAAATGTTTTATCTAATCGTGGAAAACGTTCATTACAAAGGATCGTTTATAAAGATAGATTTTCTTCCCTTGGTGAAATCACAAATAAGTTAAACAATGATTTTTCTACTAATTATCATTCAAATACTATTCGCAAATATTTATATAAAATGAAGCTTATAAATTGTATTTCAAGAAAAAAACCTCTTTTAACTAAAAAACACCGAATTGATTGATTAAATTGGTGTAAGGAAAAACATGACTGGCAAGAGGAATGGAAAAATATTGTGTAGTCAGATGAATCAAGGTTTGCTCTTTTTAAGTCAGATGGTCATACAAGAGTATGAAGAGGCTTATAATAATGACTGTATTCAACCTACATTAAAATTTGGCAGCAGGTCTGTGATATTTTGGGGATGTTTCTCATGGTATGGTGTTGGCCCTCTAGTTGTAGTAGAACAAACGTTAAATTCAGAAGAATATGTAAATGTTCTTTCAAATAATTTTATCTCTTGGGCTCGTAACTATCCAAACCTAATTTTTCAACAGGATGGTGCGTCTTTTCATACTTCTTCTTATACTACTTGGTGGATGGAATCTCATGGAATTTTAGTTTTAAATTGGGTGATGCAAAGTCCAGATTTAAACCCAATTGAGTATTTGTGAGACTATTTAGATCGTCAAATACGAAAAAGAAAACCTTTGCCTAAATCTAAACAAAAATTGATTAGAGTTGCACAAGAAGAATAGGTAAATATTAATATCGAAGTCTTACGCCATTTAATTTTAAATATGCCTAATCATATTATAAGTGTTATTAAAGCTAAAGGCGGACACACTAAATATTAAACTTTTATTTCTTAACTTGTATTTTATAAAAATAGAATTATATATTTTATAGATATTATTTTTTTTATAGATTAAATAATAAAAATTGGTTAAATAAAATTTTTAAAATTGTCAATTTTTTTGATCGCCATTTATTAGATGATCAATTCCAGTAATTTATTGTAGGGGTGGGTATACTGCCTATACAAACAAATTAAGTAATTGATAAAATGTCATATTATCTATTTATTTATTTTAATAATTCACTACTTTTAAAAATTATTTTTTTTTTGCAATTATCATAAACTTATCAATGATAATGATCTTGCAGAAAAATCTGCCTTTATTTGAGCAAGATAATTACAATTAGTAGAATGGCTTTCTATATGTTTTTTCAAAGTGTGGTCATATGAATCCACAACATTAACAACAAATTAGTAGGCTGCTACATTATCACTTCTTAAACAATTTAATATTTTATTTATACATAATATGGGATAAGTACTGTGAAAATGGATCAAATTGAATTTTTTTTTAAAAATTTATTTTTAAGTAAAATAGATGTAACATTTATTGTTTAATTCAGAACTTTAATTATTATTAAAATATTTTTTTTTACAATTTGGTCCCTTTTCGCAACACTTACTTCATATCATCTTAACAATAATTTAATACAATTTTTATCAGCGGACTTACAAAACTAATTGATCTGCTTCCAATTAAAATTTATCAAGATATCGAAAAAAACTTATGGCCATTTCAAAAATGTTAATAATATGATAATATTAATTATTGCAGACTGAATACAACTGAACATACTGAACACAAACTAAATAAAATAAATATATAATGATGATTTACAAACATTTTACAAGCAATATTTTCTGTAGAATATTATAAAATTATACAAGCAATATTAGTAATATTATATAAAATCTTACACAAAAAGTATGACGCGAACACATACCTTTATTTCACTACTACCTACTACATTTAATAACAATATAATAATATCAAATATAAAGTCAAGAAAATTTACTATAGGCTTATGTTATTTTTGTTAAGTGTATTTATATTATGATAAAGATTATAATAAATAAAAATATAAATGTAAGAAAAAAATAAAATACTAAGTAAGATCAAGAAAGTACTATACACGAATTTTTAACCCTAAAATTAAAGATATAATTCTTGGCAACTAAATGGGTTAACAAATAAAAATAAATATTATAAATATAATATAGAGGGTGGATAAAAGTTTCTGTATACAATCATAACCTTTGAATATCTCAAAATTTAGTGATTCAAATTGGACCAAAATTTAATATATTTTAAATACAATCAATCTAGTCCTATCACATATAATAATTCGAATCATTAGATTCTAAGAATATCAATATAAATGATAACATATAAATTCTTGTTAATAATTTTTTATCAATTAAATCATATATTTGTTTTCTCAACAACTTATAATTCAAATTAGCTCATATTTTTATAAATAATATATTAAATTTTGATCCAATTTGAATCACTGGATCTTGAAATATTTAACAGTTACTATTATATGCAAAAACTTTAATATATTTTTTGTAAACATTTATAAAATTTTATATTATTATTATTTTAAATTTCTCGTCAATCTGTAGCTCAAATTTTGATATATTATAAATATATTATTTATTTATGATGTATAAAAGATTTGTTTAGTTTGAATTACTAAATATTGAGAAAATTGACATAAAAGATATTTAAAATGTATGTAAACTTTTGTCTACCTACTGTACATATTTTACTGAAGAATTTAACTTTTATTTGTATTCTAAATATCATAATAAATTTAATAGATTAGGTAGAAAGAAAGACAAAATTTAAGAACAGAATAAAATTATAACCTCAAATAATTTTTCTTCATCTAAAACAGATACATGTTATTACATCTGATTTGTAATTCAAATAAAATTCACAAATATTAATAATGCTAAGATTAAACTCAAGAAATCACAATGAAGATTCATAATAAATGTCAAAGATTATTCTCAATTATATACGAGTAACTTCTGGATATTTCAAAGATTACGTTTTAGTGATTATACCTTAAGTCAATACAACAAATCAATACAATACCATGCAAAGTTAATAACAATAATAATATATACATAAGTTAAAGGGTTGCGAAGGATAAGTTTAACTTGGTTAATTATACGCTTTATTAATAATATAATAAATTGTAAGTTCTCCACCTCGTAAGATCATAAGATAATAATTTCATCCAGTAAAATATTATCCTTACTCTTTCTTAAGATATGTATTAATTGATAGATTTATTCATTAGTGTCATTTCTCGATAAAAATACAATGATATTTATATATATTTAATTAGATATGTTAAATGGTCCCAAATGACTGTAAACAAATTTTGAATTACGAGTTATAGAAAATTCTAATCACTTATCTATAATAAGTAACCCTTGATAAATAATTGTAATAATAAATTTTATGAATAACTTATAAAAGAA